TAGCCTTCACACCAGTGTGCTGGCTCACACATCTGTAATCCTAGCAGTTCTAGCCTTCACACCAGTGTGCTGGCTCACACACCTGTAATCCTAGCAGTTCTAGCCTTCACACCAGATATGTTGACACACATCTGTAATCCCGCAGATGGGAAGCAGAGGCAGGAGGATTACCGCAGGTTTGAGGTCAGCTTGGTCTACATAGTATATAGCTCTAGGATGCAAAGGCTACAGATTGAGACTCTCTCTCAACAAACAAATAAAAAGTATACTCTCACACTTGGACCATGACAGAATAATACTGAACAGGAGAAGCAAGATGAAAAGTACGTATAGAATTCTAGAGCTATACAGTATCTCAATGACACTTCTTTAATAGGTTCTTCTCATATGTGTAGAAACAAAAGCTTAGAGCCGGTCTTACATGTTTGTACAGCAAGCTGGTGTTTGAACTGGGATTTGTCCCTAAGCCTTCTTGAATTTCAGGTCAGTATTATTTCTACTATGCCACTGGTCTCCAACTTCTGTGACAGTACACTTAATCAAAAAATATTAACTTACACATACTTGTTTACTAATAAGTTCTATGTATACACAACTATACTGTCTCAGTTGATAGATTATTATGGAAAATTTAAAGACAAAATTCAATTTAAAAGAGAAAAAGAAGAGGTACTAGTCTCCCTATACCTTTCCAACTGTGGACTCCCCACTGTGGAGACCATAATACCATGCCACATTGCCTAGAACGACTCTGATGGTCATGTTCTGTTACTGAACTGCAGCTTGGCATTATAAAAAATCATTGCAGGCCAGATAGAAATACAATAATTATTAAACAAATTAAAATGTAGTGACTTAAAATTATGTTTGTAATAGTCTCATGACTTGTGGAAATTGGTCTGGTTTCCTGAAATGGATAGGTACGGGAATGTTTAATGAGCATGTTACTTTCTGAAAACACCCTGACCGTCAAGCATCACAGACAAATGGTGCAATGTGGGCCTGTTTTTACTACCTTTGCCTCAAACTCGGAGTCATCCATCCTCACGTGCTCCAGGCTACCCTGCATTGCAG